GGGTGCAGCTCGTGGCGGACGTGGGCGACGCGCGGGTCGTGGCGGGGGGTTTGGGGGCCTCCTGGGGCTGGAGCTCCCGGGGGGTCCCCCAAGAATTTTCGGCTGAGGAGGGGGGTGGGGGGCTGGGGGGCCTGCTCGGCCTTCAGCTTCTCGATCTGGGAGGAGATGGAGGTGATGGAGGAGGAGGAGGAGGAGGTGATGGAGGTGATGGAGAAGATGGGATGGAGGAGGAGGAGATGGAGAAGGAAGTGGAGATGATGGAGATGGAAAAAGAGAAGAAGGAGAAGGAGAAGAAGGAGAAGGAGAAGGAGAAGAAGGAGAAGGAGAAGAAGGAGAAGAAGGAGAACAAGGAGAAGAAGGAGAAGAAGGAGAACAAGGAGAAGAAGGAGAACAAGGAGAACAAGGAGAACAAGGAGAACAAGGAGAACAAGGAGAACAAGGAGAACAAGGAGAACAAGGAGAACAAGGAGAACAAGGAGAACAAGGAGAACAAGGAGAACAAGGAGAACAAGGAGAACAAGGAGAACAAGGAGATGGGATGGGGAAGAGGACATGGAGGAGAAGGAGATGGGATGGAGGTGGAAGTGATGGAGAAGAAGAAGATGGGATGGAGGAGGAGAAGATGGAGAAGGAAGTGGAGATGATGGAGAAGGAGAAGAAGGAGATGGGATGGAGATGATAGGGGTGGAGATGGAGGAGGAGGAGATGGGATGGAGGAGATGGAGGTGGAGGAGATGGAGGTGGAGATGATGGAGATGGAGAAGGAGAAGATGGGGTGGAAGAGATGGAGAAGGAGCTGGGATGGAGGTGGAGAAGAAGATGGGATGAAGAGAAGGAGATGGAGATGATAGAGATGGAGAAGGAAATGGGGATGGGATGGAGATGATAGAGACAAGATGGAGATAGAGTCAAGGAGATGTGACCATGAATGAAGATGTGACCAAGGATGGAGATGTGACCAAGGATGGAGATGTGACCAAGGATGGAGATGTGACCATGGATGGAGACACAACCATGGATGGAGATGTGACCAAGGATGGAGATGTGACCATGGATGACACGCCCACGTCTGGAGCTGCTGAGCCCCCCAGCCCTGCAGCAGCCCCAGGGTGGGCTCGGGACCCCCCCCCAGGTGTCCATACCGTGGTGAGACGCCTCAAGGAGCTGAACTTCTCCTCCCAGGCGGCGGCCGCGCGGCGAAAGGCCTCGTGTCTCCTCAGCAGCTGCTCCACCTCATCCACGCTGCTCCCCAGCTCTTGGCTCCTCACCAGGGGCTCCTGGGCTGTCAGCCAGGCCTCGGCCACCACGGCCTCCTGGGCAAACTGGTGGACCTCCAGCACTGGGGGAGAGAGGGGGGACACACGTGGTCACGGGGGGACACCAGGAGAGGTCTCCAAGGTGGGGCTGATGGGGTCTTGGAGGTGGGTTCTGGTGGTGGGACTGGGTCTGGGTCCTCTTGGAGATGGGTTCTGGTGGTGGGAAATTGGCCACCAAGGCTTTCTGGGCCAACTGGTGGACCTCCAGTACTGGGGGAGAGAGGGGGAGGGACGTGGTGATGGGGGGACACCAGGGGAGGTCTCCAAGTTGGGGCTGATGGGGTCTTGGAGGTGGGGAAGGAGGTGGGACTGGATATGTGTCCTCCAAGGTGGTTCTGGTGGTGGGACATTGGCCACCAAGGCCTCCTGGGCCAACTGGTGGACCTCCAGCACTGGGGGAGAGAGGGGGGACACACGTGGTCACGGGGGGACACCAGGGGAGGTCTCCAAGGTGGGGCTGATGGGGTCTTGGAGGTGGGGAAGGAGATGGGACTGGACATGGGTCCTCCAAGGTGGTTCTGCTGGTGGGAGGGCCTACTGGTGGACCTCCAGCACTGGGAGAGAAAGGGGGGACACACGTGGTCATGGGGGGACACCAGGGAAGGTCTCCGAGGTGGGGCTGATGGGGTCTTGGAGGTGGGTTCTGGTGGTGGGACTGGGTCTGGGTCCTCTTGGAGGTGGGTTCTGGTGGTGGGACTGGGTCTGGGTCCTCTTGGACATGGGTTCTGGTTGGGGGGACTGGGTCTGGGTCCTCCCAGGTGGTTCTGGTGGTGGGATCAACTGGTGGGCCAGGGGTAGGGGATGTACTGACGAGGAGACACCAGGCAAGATGTTCTACCACCATGGGGGGGGTTCTGGTGCTGGGACTGGACATGGGGTTCTCCAAGCCGGGCCAGGACATCCAGAGGATGGATCCCAACCCCACCAAGGTGGGACTCACTTTGCTGCAGCCACTCCCAGTGCTTCTCCCACTTCTCCACCAGCTCCTTCTTCTTGGCCAACAGCTTCTCCATGTGGGCTTTGATCTGCAGGGATGGAGAAGAACGGGCTGGGACCTTCTCTGAGGTGGCATCTCCCACCTCCTTGGGTTTGTCCACGTCCCAGCACCTCCTCAGCTGCCGGGTTCTTGGCCAGGATGAGGTTCTTGCCCATCTCCAGGCAGGAGTTGATGTTCTTCTCCCGAGCTTCCATCTCGTTCTTCAGCCCCTGGTGGTCGCTCATCTGCAGCTCCACTGAGGAGACATCCCTGGGGACAGGGATGGGGGGTGGGACAGGGACAACCCCAATCCCCTTGGCCAGGGTGGGACAGGATTTGGGTGGTCCAGGTGGGATGGGGCTTCCTTGGAAGTCATGGGTGGGACAGGAGGTGGTGGGACAGGAGGTGGGACAGGAGGTGGGGGGACAGGAGGAGGTGGGACAGGAGGAGGTGGGACAGGAGGTGGGTTCTCCAGGTGGGACAGGAGGTTGGACAAGGACTTCTTGTCTCCACCAGTGGGTGGGGCAGGAGGTGGGACAGGAAGTGGGACAGGAGGTGGGACAGGAAGTGGGACAGGAGGTGGGACAGGTGGGACAGGAGGTGGGTTCTCCAGGTGGGACAGGAGATGGGACAGGACTTCGTGTCTCCACCAGTGGGTGAGGAGATGGGTTCTTGTGGTGGGACTGGCCATGGACCTTTGCCCCCAGGGATGGTCCCAGGCCCATCAGGGGAGGTTGGACCTCCCCTCCCCCTCACCTGGGCTTCTCCCCAGCCCCAATCTGGCCCAGGGCCCCGTCCATCCACCCCAGCAGGTCCTTGACGGTGCCCAAGAACCGGATCTTCTCGGCGACGCCGGCGACGTGGACCCGACACTCGTCGCAGGAGGCCAGAAGGTCCTTCCAAGCCCGAAGAACCTCCTGCTCCTTCCCAGCGATGGCCTCGGCGTTGTCCCCGGCGTAGAGGGTCCTCAGCTGAGCAGCTCCTTCTTGGAGCTGCCTCACTTGGGTCACCAAGACCTCCACGTCGTGCTCGAAGGCGCCCAGAGCCCGTTGCAACGTCCCGGCCGAAGCTCTTCCCTCCCGGGCCACCAACTCGGGCAAACGTTGCTTCTTCTCCTCGATCTGCCCCAAAACCTCTTTGCAGTCGTTGAAGAACTTGTGGAGCTCGTGAGAAGCCGCCAACATCTGGGCCCGGGTCTCCATCAGCTCCAGGAGATCAGCCCAGGCCTCGTTGACCCCGTCCTTCCACTCGGCGATGGTGGCGGCGTCGGCGTGGCCGTAGTCGATCAGCTCGTCCACCATCTGGTTGA